GCTACACCAAAGGCCCTTTTATGCATTGTAGTAGCAATTGCCCAAACCCAGAACTAGTGAGAGAGGTTCTGACAGTTCTTAGACCCACTAACATGTTTACACTGTTTCTGCAGCTCTCCCTCCCCAATGCCTGCTGCCAGAATTGGAGGCTGTTTGAATTATTGCTGCTCTTGGCAAACTCTCCAGTTTGGTCTTCTGCAGGAGAAGTCCTCTCAAACCATCTTCGGCACTCCATACCCTACCCCTAATCTCTCTTACATAAAGCTTCTGCTTCTGGCCATGCAATCTGCCTGGACTCCATTATGACCTAGGACACCTCCCACTTGTTGGCGCTGTCTTCATCCACTTCAGAGGCCCGCTTAGGTCCTCTTCTTCCAGGAAGCCCTCTACTCCAGCCCCCTGAGTTCTCCTTCCTTAAAGGATTGAAGATTTAACTCTACCTTGCGTTATTCTCCATTTAATACCCTCGTTGTCTAGTCAACTAGATGCCTAGTCATTCTGGGCATCTCTAACTGTGCTCTGAGCCCCTTGAGAGAGAAGCCATGAATCTCCTTCCTCCTGTTCTTTTTCACACTTAGCACAGTGTAGATAGATGTATAGTAGGTAGGCAACTCAGCCAGTCCTGACAAGCTGATTACTTAGCTCACTTATAAAGGATGAGGGACAAGATGGGGTCAAGGAAAGAAACTTCGTGAGGGTGAGCACAGTTGTTGAATTTGTAGGTCTATGACCGAAGCAGTCTTTAAGGGTGTTTTAAATAATGAACTATGGGAAGCAGAGTTCAATCTAAAATCTGAAATGAATGAAAAGTAATGGGTAAACAACTGCTGTCACATGTTCTATTGTCTCTTTGGTAAGTTTCAATTAAAAATAACTCTGATACAAAAAAAAAAAAAGCAAGCAAACAACTGATGAATTCCCTTTATTGTCCCTTTAATGTGTTACTGAGGAGTTATTGGTATCATTTCATAGCTCTAAAACAAATGCTGGATTTACTGCTGGGTTCACATCTCTGCTCTTTTATGGAATTCTTCCAGGAGAGGCTTGAATACGGGGCTCCCATTATATGTCCCTTGTGGTAGGTTGGCTAGAGCAAGCTGCATCAGCAAATGGCAATAAAGCTCACCAAGGCAACAACTGTTACTCACCAGTGTAGTTTGATTTAGAGCAGAATGCTTCCAGATGGATTCTGATGTAACCCTTTTACTTCCATTTCCCAACAACATTGAATTGAAAAATCAATTACAATACCCAGATTTTATATGTTGCTGAATTTTGCTGGGAATAAAAGGTAGTAAAAAAAAATACACATGCACACATTTATATGTGCATATGGTATGTTAGACAAAAGGCATTTTGTAAATAACTATAGAAAAATGGGAGAGCTTCCAGGAAAGTGGTAGGTATGTTTAATAAAGACAAATTACAAGTTAGTACTATGAGTAAAGACCTTATTTATTTAGAGCTTAGAAACAGTTTAAATCACAATTCTTAGTTTGTTATGTCAACAGGCTGTCAATAGACATCCATTTACTGGGGTCAGCAGTGTCACTCGGCGTGTTCATCAGTCCTGCTCCTTTAACCAGAGGCAGTCGTCAAATCTCATTAGCTCGCTCTGTCTCCAGGAGGAGGGAGATCATCTATCAGTCACCCTTACTGCGTGACAAACCATAGGAAAGGGAGCTTTAAATCTGCTTGTGTTCTAAGCCCAGGAAGGAGAGGATAAATGTCCTTGGATGTCAGTTCTAACAGAAAAAGAGTCTGCAGAAGGCAACAGGATGATTGTATGTGGGTTGGACTGTATGGCTGTTTTACTTTAAATTAGCCAATGATTGCAGACTACGTACAACAGAACTGACTTGCCCTTTCTGGATGTTTCCTAATCTCTCTCTCCATAGAGGACTGAAAATTGAATGTTGTGAAATTAGCTTGAGTTTAGTGACTCTCTAATTAGATAACTTTCTCCCATGACAATCCAGCTCTTGAATCACTAAACAGATGTGATGGGCTGTTCAATTTGCATCTGGCTGTAAAAGCAGACAACAGATACAATACATTTCTAATTTTGTAAGTCATGGGACAAGAAGAAGCATGACACACTGATCACACTGCTTTTCTTCATCTTACTGCCCTCAGGTGACCTTCTTTTCATAAAGATCAACACGCCATTGAACAATATTTTATGTCCCCCTGATCCAACTCAGTTATCTAAATGACTTCCAAACTACATTGTGTCAGGCACTGTCCTACCGACCTGATAGTTAACAAAAGTCTCAGTTCATTCCATTGTCCAATTGCATAGAGTGGTATTTCTCAAACTTGAATGCATTTACAAATCACTGAGGGCTCTGGGTAAAATTCAGATTCTTATTCAGGAAGTCTGGGGAAGGGCCTGAGAATCTGCATTTCTGTCAAGCTCCCAGGCAAGGCTGGTGTTGCTGGTCTGAGATTCACACTTAGGGGACAGATCACTTTGATAATAATCTCTTTTTTTTCCTAGCAGCACAGCATATAAACAAATAATTTCATGTGACTTGTTTTCTGAAAGCATGATTATATTTAAAGAGAAGTTGATTTCAGACATGAATTTTAAAATGCAATTGTATTCTCTCCAAATGTTATCTCCATGGATAAACATCTTTTTAGAGCTTAAAGAGGTCTTTTCAGGTTGATGATTGTTGGAATCAGGAAATGATCCAAAACAGAACACAGATTCATTTAAAGCAAAGCTTAAATCCAATACTTCCCCCAGCTACACTATTGATGACTGCTCAGCTTTTTCTTCGCTGTAAATGTGCATAAACAAATCGAAATATGCTTTCCTTATTTTTAAAAACCTCTCCCTGGGATTAGCGTTCAAGTTTGTTTGCTCACCTACAGCATCTGCTGTGCAGTTTATTTAAATATGGCATACTTAAATAAGATTTAAACTATTCCCTTTGAAATTTATTAGCCTAACATAGATTTAACTGTAGACATAAATGCCGGTGGTTCAGAAGAGTCTACTTCACCTTTAATGATTTGAGGGCACAGTACTTAATAACCACTTTCTTCTGAAGTGCTCATAACACCTCATATTCACCCTCCCACTAACCTCTTTCAAGTTTGGTAAGGAAATGAATCTCTTTTTAGATCTGAATTTGCAAAACTAAAACCTAAAGATTGTTAATTTTTCTGTAATTCAGGTGAGTAGATACCAAGTAGAGCATAGTAACACCTTGGATGTGATTCTCTTAAGTAAAACTAGCTTCCCAAAAGCATGGTTTATGGACTCAAAACACTAGCATAATTTTCTGTGTGCAAAAGGAACATTGTAAAATAGCTAAATATATTCAGACATTTATTTAGCCTCTATAATGCTAATACCAAAATATTATATTGTTATTTATTATAATACAATAACTAATATGAAGGATAATATGTAATGCCTATCATTATCCAGGAACTATTCTCAGCACTTTACATATTAGACTTTAGTTTTTACAATTTTATACATAGAAACTATTATTAGCCCCATTTCATAGGTACAGAAAGTAAAATATTAAGAGGCTAAATAACTTATCCAAGTTTATAAAACTGGTAAGTGAGCCTATGGTCTGAATGTTTGCGTCTCCCCCCACTCCCAATTTCATGTTGAAATTCTAATTCCCAAACATGATGGTATTTGGGAGCACTTAGGACATATAGGTAGCCCCCAGAATGCAATTAGTAACTTTTAAAAGAAATCTCAGATAGTGTCCTAACTCCTTCTACCATGGAGGATGTCTCTAGTAGGTCCAGCCTATGAACCTAGAACATAGCCCTGATGGTATCTTGATTTTGGACTTTCCAGCCTCCACAACTCTTAGAAATAAGTTTCTGTTGTTTATAAACTACTCAGTTGGTGATATTTTGTCATAAAAGCCCAAACAGACTAATACAGTGACAGAGCCAATTAAACCCAGGCTGTATAACTTCTGTGTCCAAGCTGTGTCATGTACCGAACACCATGCTAGGTAATGATGATCAAAACAGAATGTATATCAAATGCATTGCATTCACAATAGCTCCACCCACTTCTAACCATCATGTGTGTGTGTGTGTGTGTGTGTGTGTGTGTGTGTATCAATATATTCTTTCCAGCTGAGTTCAAATTTGATTTCTGAATCCTTCTTAACACCATATTCCAGGCATCATCATCAAACAATTGGAGCTGGAATATGAATCAAAATATAATTTCTACTTCTGATTGAGTGCATAAATCACAATCATTTACTAGTCTTTAAATACTTTTAATTAGTTGTTAACTAGTTGGTACAAGTTGCAGATGAACTCAAATGCCTTCATAAAAAGGGGTGAATGTCTTATTAATACAGATCTCAACCTCTGTTTAATAAATTTTGATTCAGTCATGGAATCCATGTTTTGGCTTCAAAATGTTTTCACATCAAAATACTTTCAAATTCCATATAATATAGGCTTTGGTATTTCTTTAGTCTAAGAATTTGGGAAGGATCCATAAACACATCAACTTACAGCAGCACTAAATCTGGATATCCTACCACAAGCCTTTGCAGAAACATAGGGGAAGATTTCCAGAAAATCTGCATGAAAGTATTAAGAGGGAATTAAGCCAAAATAGCTCCCAGAAAAAGAAAGTTCACCTTAAGTGTCAAAATACTGAAAGAGAGTTCTGATAGATAAGAGTATTGACTACAGGGAAGCAACTAAATGAGACATGAGATTCAAAAGAGCAGTTCTGGAAAGGTTAAGGGAAGAGAGGTTAGAAAAGTAGAGGCAGACAGAAATGTAGAAGAGAGATTGAGGACCCTGCAAGACAAAAGAAAACAAAAAACAAAGACCACACAAACACTATTTGTGTTAAATAAGTCTATCCTGTGCATTGTAGAATGTTTGTTAGTACCCTTAGTTTCCACATACCTGATGTCATTATCATGTTACCCATCAGTCATGACAACCAAAAATGTCTTCAGACATTGTCAAATAACCCCTGAAGGCAAAATCACCCCCAGTTGATAACCACAAACCTAGACCAATGATTTATTGAATTGCCGACTGCTATATTGATTGCTTGAAGACTCTTCTTCAAATGTTGCCTTTATAGTAGTAAACTGTTAAGAGGAAAAATAAAGATAACTAAGGAAGGAAAAGAACTCCGCTCCTTCTTCATTTACTCACTCAACAAACACCTGTAGAATAAATAATGAACATTGTTACAGGTCACAACCCAAATTTTATGCTTTCCATTTTATTTAATATAAGTTGTTTGATTAATTTCTGTATCTCGAAGAAATTGATACCAGGATTGTTTCTTTTTTTAATTTTATTTTTATATTCCCCATACAATTGCAACCCCCGTATTTTGACCCCAACCCCTCCTTTCCCCGCCCCACCCCCATAGTGTGTCTCTGGTTCATAGTTGTTTGTTGATTTTCATTTTTTCTTTCTTATAGTTATTCATTTTCCTGGTCCCTTAGTTAGTTTTCTAGATTCCTGCTATGAGTGAGACCATCCGGTATTTTTCTTTTTCTTTCTGGCTTATTTCGCTGAGTATGATCCCTTCCAGCGCCATCCATGTTGCTGCAAATTGCATGTGTTTATCTTTTTTGAATGCTGAGAAATAGTCCATGGTGTATATGTACCACATCTTCTTGATCCAGTCATCTATTTTTGGGCATTTGGGTTGTTTCCAAAGCTTAGCTATTGTAAATAGTGCTGCTATAAACATAGGGGTGCAGGTGCTCTTTGGAATTGATGTTTCTGTGTCTTTGGGTAAATACCTCGGAGTGGAATTGCTGGATCATATAGAAGCTCTGTCTTTAGTAGGTTGAGGAATCTCCACACAGCTTTCCATAGTGGTTGGACCAGTTTGTACTCCCACCAACAGTGCAGGAGAGTTCCTTTTTCTCCACATCCTCGCCAACATTTGTTGTTGCTAGTTTTTTTAATATGTGCCATTCTCACTGGTGTGAGATGGTATCTCATGGTAGTTTTGATTTGCAAGTGATGTTGAACATTTTTTCATATGCCTGTTGGCCATTTGTATTTCCTCTTTGGAGAAGTTTCTTTCTAGCTCTTCTGCCCATTTTTTGACTGGATTATTTTCTTTTTTTTTTTTTTTTTAAAGATTTATTTATTTATTTATTTATATTTATACAAGCACTGGGTATAGTCAGAAGCGCGGGAGGGGAGAGAATTCACCAGAGCCAGAGCAGGGAGCAGAGCAAGCAGAAGGACCGAAGTACACTGCGGAGGGGAGCAGCGGGCAGCAGGAGAGGTCTGCGCGCCATGTGGGACCCTCCTCCGGTGGCCGCCGGGGAGCAGCCAGGGATCGAACCGGCGCTGCAGAGGCTGTGGGCAGCTTCGCAACCCAGCGCTCAACCGCTGCGCCACCGGGGAGGCCCATTTTCTTTGTTTTTGTTGAGTCTCATCAGCTCTTCGTAGATTTTTGTGGTCAGTCCTTTATCATTAGTGTTGTGTGCAAAAATTTTCTCCCAGTCGATGGGGTTTCTCTTTGTTTTGGTTATTGTCTCTTTTGCTGTTCAGAATCTCTTTAATTTGATATAGCCCCAGCTGTTTATCTTTGCCTTCACTGTCACTGCTTTGGGTGATGTGTCTGTAAAGATGTCTTTGAGGTGCATGTCATGTGGTGTTTCACCCATATTTCCTCCTATATATTTTATGTCTAGTTCTTTAATCCATTTTGAGTTGGTTTTTGTGCATGGTGTGAGGTAGTCAAGTTTCATTCTTTTGCAAGGAGCAACCCAGTTTTCCCAGCACTATTTATTGAACAAACTTTCTTTGCTCCATTGCATATTCTTTGCTCCTTTGTCAAAGATTAGTTGACCATAAATCTGTGGGTTTATTTCTGGGTTTTCTATATGGTTCCATTGGTCCGTGTGTCTGTTCTGGTTACAGTACCATGCAGTTTTGATTATTATGGCTTTGTAGTATAGTTTGAAATCTGATACCAGGATTGTTTCTAATCTAGGATCTTAACACACAAGCAAAACCTTGTATATATGTCATTTTACTACAAATGTTTGGAATACTCACTGCTGATAACTGTTTTTGGTATTTACGTTCTATCTGTGGATGTAACAGTTAGCTGTTGCTACAATAATGCTGTATAACAAAGAACCATCAAATCTCAGTAGCATAAAACAACAGACATTTATTTAACTTGCATATCTCCAAGTTGGCCAGGGGTCGATTGATGTAGGCTGGACTCAACTTGAATACTCTTCTCTCTCTGTGTGTCCTTCATGCTTTTCCTCCTGTCAGCAGACTGGCCTAGGCATATTCTCAAAGCAATGGCTAAGGAACAAGAGACATGAGATCTAGGCTCAGAACTGACACACCATCACTCCTGCACTCCTACTGTGTTTTCAGTCAAACACAGTATCACAAAACATGGGCCTCCCCGGTGGCGCAGCTGTTGAGCGCTGGGTTGCAAAGCTGCCCGCAGCCTCTGCAGCACCAGTTCAATCCCCGGCTGCTCTCCAGCCACCGGAGGAGGGTCCCACAGACCTCTCCTGCCGCCCGCTGCTCCCCTCAGCAGTGTACTTCGGTCCTTCTCCCTGCTCTGCTCCCCACTCTGGCTCTGGTGAATTCTCTTACCCTCCCACGCTTCTGACTGTACCCAGTGCTTGTATAAATAGATAGATAGATAGATAGATAGATAGATAGATAGATAGATAGATAGATAGATAGATAAATCTTAAAAAAAAACAAGCCACAGTATCACAAAACAGAAAATAGACTCTAACCATGGAGGTGAGAGCTAAAATTTTACATGTCAAAGGACACTTCTTAAGTTAGTGAATACAATAGCAGGATGATAATTTTCAACAATGCAAAAGAAGATTAAGTTATCAACCTCAGAGGGTTATTATTTCAACATTTTTACTAGAACATCGGCAATACCAAATTCATCTATATTAAGACAATTGATCCTAAAGAAAAACATTCAAGGCAGATGCCAACAAATGATTTTTACATTCATATGTCACACATTTTATGGCTATTTTTAGCAATTTTTCAGATGGCTTTATGTTCTCTATTTGTTCATTAAAGAAATTTTCTTTAAACATAACACTTCTTAAAATCAAGAAATGAACTTTCTTGAAAGAGAAACATTTCTTAAAACAAGAAATGATCCAACAGATTTAAATTTCTACGTTCTGTGTACACCAGGAGTAGAAATAATTGGATTATGCTCTCATTCATTACTATTTAAATATTCAGTTCTGAGGTTATATTTTAGTGTTTTTATATTTTATTTAGGATACATTGATCCAGAAAATATCACAAACCCAAATCAATGGTTTATACCAATATTAAATATGCCATTAACATGTTTCCCAGAAAAGTTCAATGAGAAGCTGTCAGCAAACCTGCAGAGAAAGCCTTTCTGCATTCAAAATAAATGATAAAATGACCAGAAATAACTTAAAAATTTTAGGATAATAAAGAGAAGAAAAGCAAATTGAAAATGTCTAGCTCTCTGCTTGGCAAGTAAAAATTATTCCAATTTTCTTATGCCTAGAGCTGAAACAACACAAATCTTCTGCCATTTTCCCACAGCAATCACAAGGCTGTTCCTTTCATCTCTCTGACTTGGATGCTCACACCATGGTATCACTAACACCTGAGAGCCCTGGTCTGTAATGTCCTCATCACCATGAGCAACAATGAGATCCCGCAGAGCAGCACTCTTAAAAAGCAGCATTGAAACATCAGCAGCTCAAATATAGAGAAGAAAAAGAAGATAGTGTATTTGAGACTACAGAGTTAATCTTTTTTTTTTTAATTTATTCGTGTACTAAACCATGGTTGCTACAGGCTAAGCCTTTGAAAGGCAATAAACGTTTCACCAGCTAGGATCTTAAAAATGAAGGAGAGAGTATGGGTGTAGCCCAAGGAAGTAGAGTGAATGAGATCTTCTCATTCTGGGTAGTACTGGGAAGTCAAAAATGAGAGCATGTGTGGGAATGGCCTATGAGCACCATTTTGTTGAAGAGTTGGGAAAATACTTGTGGTAAAGGGTGTATGAAATAAAGTTTGAGATTAGGAAGGACATGCTATTGGCGGGAAGCCATGAAAGCTGACAGCAGAGAGGGATCCAAGAACTTGAAAAGCAGACCAAAATCCCAGGTGTAAACTCGATCACTTATATTTGTCTGAAGTCCATTTTTGAAACTAATAATACATATTCATAATGATGACCCTGGAGTCACTCAGAAGCTATTAAATCATGTTCAATTAGTTCCTTTAAAGAAGTAAGATAAAGGAAATTCTTTCCTGGAAGTTTTTCTGTGAAAACATTGTTATATATTTAAACAGTTTTATTGAGGGTATAATTAACATATGATAAAATAGACATATTTAAAGTGTGCACTTTGGGGAGTTTTGATTTACATATACATGGTGAAGACAAAGACTGACACACAAGTGTTGTTAAGATAATAAACACTTTCCCTCTGAAAGGGTCCTCATGCACCTTCAGAGTGCCTCCTGCATCCCACTGCCTCCATGATCCTGAGGCAACTACAGATCGACTTTCTATCACCGTAGATTAGTTTGCATTTTCCACAGTCATACACAAGTGGATTAATACATTGGTACCCTTTTTTGTTTGACTTTCTCTCTGCATTATTATTTTGAAATTTCTGTAAATTGTTGTGTATAGCAATAGTTTTATTCTTTGAAGTCGAGGGATAGAATCCCACTCTATGAATATACCACACTTTATCTGTTCACCCACTAATGGATATTTGAGTTATTTCCAGTTTGGGGCTATTAAAAGCCAAACTCTTAGGAATAGTTGAGTGTAAGTCTTTGTATAGACACATACTTTCATTTCTTTTGCATTTATACCAAGGATTGGAATGAGTGCATCATGCAGCAGGTATATGTTTAACATTTTAAGAACTGCTAAACTACTTTCCAATGTCACTGTCCCATTTTACATTTCTACAACAGTGATTGAGAGTTCAGGTTGCTCCACAGCCACACCAACACACAAGAAAGACAATCATTTTTATTTTCTGCATGCTATGCTAATAATAAGTGTGCAGTGGTATCTCCATATAACTTTAATTCGTATTTTCCTCATAGCTATTGATGTAGAATGTATTATCATGTGCTTATTTGCCATCCTTCTATTGTTTTTGGTGAAATATCTTTC